TTTATCTGCCTGCCTTTGGAAACAATGGAAGATGGGGGCGCTCTCTTTGGATGCCCCTAGAATTGGACTCCCTTGTCCAAATTTTTCCAAACTTGGGGTTCTTTTGGGGAGATGCTCCAGCAGCTACAGTACAGATTGGGTGCCTCTGCCTCAACCCTCCCCCCAGTCCACTGAATGCTCTTAGAAGATTTTGCCATTGACTACAGTGGTCCCATGGAATGTAATGGAGCCAGATTTTTTCTGTATTCCCAAATATTTCCGGATATCAATACATTACTGACATTGGTATTCGGGTGTATTTGGGAATACCAAAAAAAAAAAAAAAGGCTTCATTATACCTGAATCCGAAAAAAGCTGATTCCCCCCCCCCCCGCACACCCCTAGTTATGAATGTATTTTCTATGTAATGTGAGAATGCAGTGCTGAATACCCAATTCTGCTGTTTTCATTTTCTTGGTTATTTTAATATGCAGCCTTTTAAAAAAAACATTACTGCAAAGCAATGTTCCCTCTAAGCTGTGGAGTCCTGTGAGCAAAAATTCTACTTTGTGTGCTCCTGGCATTAAAGTTGTGAGCGAGCGATTTGGCTGCCACATAAAATTAGTTTGCTCTGGAGCCCTCCTTCCTGAGCTAAGACAAAAAAAATGTGTGAGCCGGAGGCTAAAAAACTGTGAGCTGGCTCACACTAACTCAGCTTAGAGGGAACACTGCTGCAAAGTACTGGTTTCCTTTTTTCATAAGGGCTGTGGACTAATACAGCTGATTCTCAAGCCGTGACCCTAGGAGGCCCTGGGAATGCTTTGAGAAGCTTATAGGAGTTTTCTCAATGGGACAATCTGTAGCAGCAGACAAGTTCTCTTGAAAAGCAGCTTGTCTAACATGGCTGAGCTTCCCCTGGGCGTTGAGTGTGTTCTAGGCTATGCTCTCAACTCGCAGTGGGTCAGCAGCAAGGCCCACAGACTTGCACGTGCTCTGCATGAAACTGATGTGGCATCTTGGGACATCTTTGTGTAGCCTCTGAAACGGCCCCCTACTGATGAGTCGATGTGTAAAGCATTCCCTGAAGGCAGAATTTTTAAAACACACACAAAACCACTGTTCTAATGCACATAAGAGCAGGCAGCCAAACAGCAATAAGGTATAACCTTTTTGGTTTTCCTTCAAGAAAAATGTAATCTTAGCCAGCACTGGTTTTAGGAGAAATGTGCACAGTTAACTTGGAATTCTTCCTGGGTGTAGCATCAGAGTCATAACATCCAGATCGCAATATGTCATAGTCCCACCGTACACTACCGGCCACCTGGAGTCTTGTGTGCTCTTCTGGAGACCTCACTTCAGACCCTGATGCTGGGAAAGATTGAAGGTCAAAGAAGACGGGGACGGCAAAGGATGAGATGGTTAGACAGTGTCATAGATGCAACGAACATGAAATTGAGCAAACTTCAGAGGACAACGGAAGACCGGAAGGCCTGGCGAGATCTGGTCCATGGGGTTGCGAAGAGTCAGACTCGACTGCAACTGAACAACAACAACAACAACAACAGAGGAGAGCGAAGAGGATGATTGGGGGCCTGGAGACCAAGCCCTATGAGGAAAGGCTGAAAGACTTGGGAATGTTTAGTCTGGAGAAGAGGAGGTTGAGGGGGAGTATTTGAAGGGCTGTCACTGAGAGGAGGGGCAAGGGGCTGTTCTGTTGGCAGCAGAGGAGAGGCCTCGCAATCATGGGTTTAAATTAAGAGCAAGAAGGTACCGGCTGGATATTAGGAGAAACTTTTTTATTCTAAAGAGTTATTCAACAGTGGAATCAGCTGCCTAGGGAGGCGGTGAGCTCCCTGTCACTGGCAGTCTTTAAGCAGCGGCTGGATAAACACTTGTCAGGGACGCTCTAGGCGGATCCTGCATTGAGCATGGGGTTGGACTAGACGGCCTGTATAGCCCCTTCCAACTCTGTGATTCTATGATTCTCTCTCTCAGCTTTTGTTCACTTCAGTGTAGATTTTGTCTGTGTGTTCTGAGTAGCATATGTCTGGTCTGCTCTTAATGACACATTGCAGGTGTTTCATATATTACACAGCAGCAGACATGCATTTGTGATTGCTTCTACAGTGCATGGATTTGTAGGCTTCATATTGTGCATGTTGTGAAGAGAAAAGGGGACTGCCTTGAGCTTCTGAAGGATGAATAAAAATTGATTCTGCCATTAGTACCACCCACTTCTTATACTAAAAGGAGATCCACATGTCTTTAGACATTGCACTATTATAATCATGAGATTATAATCTGAGATGGTGCAATATGAAAGCTCCTAGTGAAAGACGAATAGATGTAATTTGTTACAGGGCTTAACAGGTTTTACATGCATGCTCGATTTGATATTCATTTTATATATTTCATTTATCCTTGCGGTTGTATGAATTTCGTTTGAGTTAGTTTGTTGTGTTAGAGTGCTGGCTTTTTGCTGTGAATACATTTGTTGTTGGCTTTCATTGCAAATACATGTGGATTTTCCTGATACAGGAAATGCTAAGAAAACTGACTTTACTGAAATACTTATTATCAGCACATTCTGATGTCATGCACCTTACTTCTTCTTCTAATATACCTCCAAGTGCTTGTCTTAACAGAAGTGTCATTTAGCCAGCAAAATAACTTTGGCATTTGGAAGCCTCATAAAGTCATTTGCCACCTTTTTAAAAATTATGGTCCACTTGGGTAGTTTCTGCACTCTTTTATCCTGCCATTCTGTAAGGAGATGAGGGGCAAACGAAACTCCCAGTGATTTCAAATAGTTGGTGTAGTTTATATAGAACCCAGTTTAACACAAAGTAAAGCTTTTCATTGAAAAGATTTCTGGGAAATATTAGAATGTAGAGAGAGGTAGGTTTCTGTAGCATTGATTTTTTTTTAAGCTTTTCTCTTTTTAATTTTGCAGGCTTTGATAAAATTAATTGCAGTTTATCTTTAGCTCCTCAGAATTATGGGATTAAACTAAGCCAAGGTTGCTTGATAGTTTAAAGTTCTGTGAGAAGAGTGATCATTCAAAACAAGTGTATTCTGCTTCAATAAACTCGAGTCAGGGCAAAATTACAAATGCAAAGAAGTAAAGTTGGTTGCTCTTACTTTTGGATCAAAACAGGACATTAGATGCATTTAACTTCCGGTGTCAATAAGATGACTCCTTGAGATTTTGTGTACAACTATTTAATAGGGTTGCCAAGTCAGAAGCGGTGCTGGAGCGAGGGACTCCAGCGCTGCTTCGGGAGTGCGCACGCGCGCACCCCGCAACCCCATCACCCGGAAGTGACGCGACCACGCCAGGCATACTGGGGGTGGGGCCACGACCATCCGAGGGAAAACCATAGAGTTTTCCCTCGGATGACTGTGGCCCCACCCCCAGCGTGCCTGGCGTGCCCATGTCACTTTCGGGTGACGTGCACGTCGCGTGCTTTGGGGGTGGGGTTCCCGATCCGCTGGCGGCTGGGAATGGGCCTCTGGGGCGGGGTTTTCCCGCCCCCCGGGGGGACTTGGCAAGCCTACTATTTAAACATGAACTGTCTCACTTGCTGACAGTTCAGCTTTGTCTTCTAGAAAAACCAATTGGTAAAATCCAGTTAGTGATCATCACTGCTCCTGTCTGCCTCTTGGGGGTGTGACTGACATGCCAGGCTTGGAGGTGGCTGTTGTACCCCTCACCTTGGAGACCCTTATGGGGACCTCTTCCCCTTTGGGGCCATGCAGGAAACTCAGTCCTGCAAAAGCCTGTATTATATTCCCAGCACACTGTCCAAATTCCTATTGAGCCAGTTGTTATAGCAGTTGCAATGTTTTATCTGTACAATCAGATATTTTGCTGTGAGGAAGGCAACAACCCCCTCCCCCCAGATTCCGTTGGCCAATGTGAATCTATGCAAGACTTCTACCTGGTCCTCTCAACCAGCACGTGCCACGCAGCCATAGCAGAGATGAACAATACAAGAGGCAAGATATGGGGGAAACGCTGCCTGAGTGGGCATGTTTACTTGAAGAAGTTGCTGAATGTCCTGCCCGGCTTGCTCTCAGTTGCCAGGACAGTCTAAAAGGATGAAATCTTCCCTCCAGTCCTTGCTTCCCTACTGCTGACTGTGTGGATGCCAAACGGCCAATCAGGAGGGCCAAGGCCATAGATGGCAGCGTGGACGTCTGTGGGTAAAGTCTACACAGACTGCCACCACCCTTCATCCTCTCACCTGCCTCCCACTTATAGCAGATGGCTGGATTTTTGTTTATTTGACTAAAATCATTTTCTTTACCCCTGCAAATGACAGTGATTGAAATTAATGCCATCGTTTGATTTCCACATACATAATGGTCCTAGCATAACCGGAAGTGCTAAAATGACTCCTCTGCTTGCACTAAATGAAAGCAATTGTACCCTCCCCCCACTATATTTTCCACATCTGCAAGATGTATCACGAGATATTCAGATTGTTTCAGAACTAAATTAAATGAAATCATGTGAACCATCAGTTGTACTTCCCATTGCTGTCTATGGACATGCCTTTTGTGCAAGATTATAGTGAAGTGCTTTGTGTTGTTGCACCTACTGCGCTGCTGCTTGTACAAGCGGAACTATGCTAAATACGTTTTACTTTCCACTTGGACTTTGCTGTATCCAACCCAATGCATTTCTGTTGGTGTGGTTATTCTCACTATATGTCACTTCCATGGGTGTTTAGTGAAATTAGTTGGTATAAATAATGGCTGGCATTTAGTTCTCAAGCCTGAAAAGCAAAGCAGGAGAGGCAATGAGTTTTTAATGACTGTTGATTAAGAGGGCATCATCGCCAGCACCTCAGAGGTTTGCCCGGGTTGCTTGGGAAGAGAACTAGCCCTGTATGCCAACCAAACTGGTCTGGCATGCTGCAGTTTAGTATATGTAATGGTGGTTTTATTACATTGGGTAGGACACATTGTACAGTTGTCTTAAGTGAACATTCTTTTTTTCCCCCCTCCCCACACAGAATTCTCTTGGTTCAACTGGTGTCTCCCAGGATCCTGTCTGCTAAGTCTTCTTCTCATCTCATGCTTCAGGGAATCCTACGATAGACTTTATCTTGATGTCGTTGTCTCCGTTTGATGGCACAAAACAGAGGAGCTCAAGATGAGGTTGGAATTCAGTATGGTGCTCAGCACATCTTCTTGGAAATTGCACAGCCGAAAGAATGCGGCAAGCAAATTACAGAATTTTAGCATGGACATTTTAATTGGGTTATGAAAGAAGGGTTTAAAAAAAAAAAAAAAAAAACTATACTCCATGATTTGGTATTTTATTATCTAGATAACTATGAGTGTTGTACTTGAATGGGAATTAGATTATTTTTTAAATAAACACACAACAGAATGTGTGTTAGGGAAAAGCTCTAATTTAAGAAATGATATTTTATTTAATAAGCTATTTAACGGTGTATATTTTTTGTGCCACTTCAAACCACTATGTACCAAGAATAAAATTTCTAATTCAAGGATGGAGTAAAGAATCTCTAAATACCAAAAAACAACACACACTTTTATTGGTAGCCCAAGATACTGAATGAAAATTCTGATCCTTACATGTTTCTTTTCCTTTTTGTGTAACATTCTATCTGTTGTGGTGGCAGACAATTACTTATGGCAAAAACTTCCTGGCCAGTCCCCCCCCCCCCTTCTGATTATAAATAATCCATCTATGTTACTTCTAAAAGAGGAATGCTGAATAGACACAAATAACCCTTGTAAAAACATAGGATTTTAAAATAAGTAATTGTGTTTAAATGTTGAATTCCAGACATGTCCTAGTATATCCCTTGTACACTACATATATTTTCTGATGAAGAGATTTCTGATGTGGTATGTTTGGTTTCTAACCAGAGTAAATATCCTTTGGATAAACATGCTTTCATTTTGTTTCACTACTTGACACTGAAGGAAGTAGTAATTTTAGCCATATAGTATTGGTGCTATAAGACTTTGTCACTTTTCTGCCATGGTATAGAAAGCAAAGATGGCATCTCAGTTTTCAGCATATGGTAACTCCTGATAGGTACCGATGTTGTACCCTGTTTCCCCGAAAATAAGACCTACCCCAAAAATAAGCCCTAGCAGGATTTCTAAGCATTTGTGGTATAAGCCCTAGTGTGTCTTCTTGAGAAAAAATAAATATAAGACAGTGTCTTATTTTCGGGGCAACACGGTACTTTTGCTTGTATATTCCATCTACAAGGAATTCCTTGGTTTACCTTTCCCATCAAGTTGTAACATCCCCAACTGCTTAACCTCTTTTCAGATTAGTTTACAATTAATGAGTGCCTCTTCATTTTTATTTCATAGCTATTTCACTAACAGTGGCACTTTTCAGGTATTTTTGTGGCAAAATGACAAATCAAGGGGCAAGTTTTAAGGGACACTGCCAACGCTATTGCACCTCTCCTGTACTGAGCAAGTTTTTATCATTCAGATCTTGCATTTCTTTGTAATGTGCTTTTTGTTAACAAACCTAAAACAAGGAGTACCTTGCCAAATGCAGAATATGTTTATCATTGTGGTATGCTCTAGAAGGGGGGTGATTGTCATCTCAACTGTGGCAAGAATCATTCTGTTTGAATTATTTGTCATCTGAATTAGCTTCCTTATAACTCTAATACTGTTTATGCCTCTTTATCAAGTAGGTTTGTTCAATTGATTATGCGTGTTTGGGGGGGAAGTACATACATATGCTTTTGTTAACCTTTCTCTCTGTACGGCATATCTGCAGTAAAATGTAAAAAGAGAAACTTCTAATGATGCATTGATGCCATTGTCCGTTAGCAAAGCAGTCTCTTCAGGAAATGAAACTGCTCAATTGAGTTCTATAAGCTATAGAATTCATAGAGTGATTTTGTTGTTGTTGTTCTGCTGTGGGTGACATAGCCATTTTACCCAGGGGCATTCGAGGATGCTGGCATGTAATATTCTGCTTCAGTGAGAACTCTGAATTGCATGTATTTCACTCCTGCAAGAGGTTCTAGCCTGCCACTTTTGATTCATTTGGCTACTTGTAACTCGGAAATTAATAATTTTGGATTGTCACATGGCTCTTTTTTATTTATTTTTCTTGCCCGATCGTCGTTATTCTGTAGATCGGGGGAAGTATGATTTTAATGTTAATTCAGATTTACAATTTTGAGTTCAAAGGGAATAATTGCTGTAATTTTACAGAGTCTACTCTTAGTGGTCATCACTGCTACCTTTTTTGCATACCGTAGTGGGCAATGGGCTGGGATATGACAGTTTATTAAAGATTAAACCTTTTCCCTTAGGGATACCCTCCCAGCAAAGCAAATGCTTTTGTTTTATGTTGCAGTATAAAGTAATTGTGGTTTTTGTTTCTTTTTTTTTTGCTGAAACCCTTAAGAGTCTGGTCCCATGACCTGTACAACATGCTGCAGAAAGCCCCAGCTGGGGCAAAGACATGCACCATCTGAAAATTATAAGCAGGGTGATCTCCCTTCACTTTGCAGACAAGGTCTTTTTTGTTTAAAAAAAAAAAAGTTAGTCCCAAGAAGGGGGCTTGGTTGCTCTCGCCACACAACTCCCTGCTTCGGCCACGGTAACAAGGAGGGGGAGGCGCAGATTGCTCACAAAACTTCAGAACTTTGCAGTGCCCTGTAGCTGTTTCTGTATGTAAACTTAACGGTACTGTGAAACAGAGGAGGTCCAATTGATAGGAAATCATGAACTTGGTTTGGGAGTCCATTTGATTCACGAAAGGACAGGAGATAAATGATCTAATTTCTAAGTAGCAAAATGAAATTCTCTGCTTAAATACTGTATGGGTACCCTGTTAGTTGTTTTCCTGCTGGATACATCCTTTTGAAAGTCCTTGATGAGAAGCAGATAATATTTCATAATACAAGGACTCTCCTGACAGCTGTCATATTACTTATGTTGTTGGTCCGTATGGTCCGGTTTGAAGCTTAACTTTCATAGAACGTTTCCCTATTAGCATTCATTGTCTTTGTCAAA